TGGACACAGCCTCTGTGTGTGTGTGTTGGAGACAGTGTCCCAGTTCTCCTGTGAGGTCCACCATCCTGATGGTCCATGAGGACGTGGACACAGCCTGTGTGTGTGAAGGGGACAGTGTCCCAGTTCTCCTGTGAGGTCCACCCATCCTGATGATCCATGAGGACGTGGGCACAGCCTCTGTGTGTGTTGGAGACAGTGTCCCAGCTCTTCTGTGAGGTCCACCCGTCCTGATGGTCCATGAGGACATGGACACAGCCTCTGTGTGTGTGTGTTGGAGACAGTGTCCCAGTTCTCCTGTGAGGTCCACCCGTCCTGATGGTCCATGAGGACGTGGGTACAGCCTCTGTGTGTGTGTGTTGGAGACAGTGTCCCAGCTCTCCTGTGAGGTCCACCCGTCCTGATGGTCCATGAGGACATGGACACAGCCTCTGTGTGTGTGTGTTGGGGACAGTGTCCCAGTTCTCCTGTGAGGTCCACCCATCCTGATGGTCCATGAGGACGTGGACACAGCCTCTGGGTGTGTGAAGGGGACAGTGTCCCAGCTCTCCTGTGAGGTCCACCCATCCTGATGGTTCATGAGGACGTGGGCACACCCTCTGTGTGTGTGTGTTGGAGACAGTGTCCCAGTTCTCCTGTGAGGTCCACCCATCCTGATGGTCCTTGAGGACGTGGGCACAGCCTCTGTGTATGTGCTGGGGACAGTGTCCCAGTTCTCCTGTGAGGTCCACCCATCCTGATGGTTCATGAGGACATGGGCACAGCCTCTGTGTGTGTGTGTTGGAGACACATATCATTCAGTATTTTCTTATCTTTCTCCTGAGCCTTTTTGTTTTTCAAGGCTAGATCTGCAGGTCACTAGCCTGGAAGACCTGGGAAAGGTATGACCCATCCCGGTGACCTTTTGTACCTGAAATAGGTTTAGTCAAATGGGATTGGATGGCAGGCTGACCTCAGGGTGCCTGTCCTATTGCCCTGTGTTCCAGGGGATTTCTTTAAAGACCCTCTTCCGGAAGCAGATCTGTACATCCTGGCCAGGATCCTCCATGACTGGGCAGATGGAAAATGTTCACACCTGCTGGAGAGGGTCTACCATACTTGCAAGCCAGGTGAGCTGTGGGGTTTGCATATCAGCTGTGCTTGTGACTCGGGGCAGAACTACATGAGTCACATTTAGAAGGCAGGCACTGAAATCATCCCACAGGTAAGTGTAGACATCCTGCCAAAAGGCTTTCCTTTTAGATAACTACCTACAAGAAATAGGGTCCTAATTTCTCTTCTATTGATAAAACCACATAAAGATGGAAAAGGTGAAAGGTCCTCTGAAACTTCAGTGGCCTCACTTTGGTGAAACTGTTTCAGAATTAGGCTAATATTTGTGTGTGTCATGAGGACAGTGCCTCACTGACTTCTGAGGTCCACCTATCCTGATGGTCCATGAAGATGTGGGCACAGCCTCTGTGTGTGTGAAGGGGACAGTGTCCCAGCTCTCCTGTGAGGTCCACCCATCCTGATAGTCCATGAGAACGTGGGCACAGCCTCTGTGTGTGTGTTGGAGACAGTGTCCCAGTTCTCCTGTGAGGTCCACCCATCCTGATGGTCCATGAGAATGTGGGCACAGCCTCTGTGTGTGTGTGAAGGGGACAGTGTCTTAGCTCTCCTGTGAGGTCCACCCATCCTGATGGTCCATGAGAATGTGGGCACAGCCTCTGTGTGTGTGTGTTGGGGACAGTGTCTTAGCTCTCCTGTGAGGTCCACCCATCCTGATGGTCCATGAGGACGTGCGCACAGCCTGTGTGTGTGTGTGAAAGGGACAGTGTCCCAGTTCTCCTGTGAGGTCCACCCATCCTAATGGTCCATGAGGATGTGGGCACAGCCTCTGTGTGTGTGTTGGAGACAGTGTCCCAGTTCTCCTGTGAGGTCCACCATCCTGATGGTCCATGAGGACGTGGACACAGCCTCTGTGTGTGTGTGTGAAGGAGACAGTGTCCCAGTTCTCCTGTGAGCTCCAATCATCCTGATGGTTCATGAGGACGTGCGCACAGCCTGTGTGTGTGTGTGAAGGGGACAGTGTCCCAGTTCTCCTGTAAGGTCCACCCATCCTGATCGTTCATGAGGACGTGGGCACAGCCTCTGTGTGTGTGTTGGAGACAGTGTCCCAGTTCTCCTGTGAGCTCCAATCATCCTGATGGTCCATGAGGACGTGGGCATAGCCTCTGTGTGTGTGTGTTGGAGACAGTGTCCCAGCTCTCCTGTGAGGTCCACCCATCCTGATGGTCCATGAGGACGTGGACACAGCCTGTGTGTGTGTGTGTGTGTGGCCGGGCGCGGTGGCTCACACCTATAATCCCAGCACTTTGGGAGCCTGAGGCGGGCAGATCACAAGGTCAGGAGATCGAGACCATGTGTCCCAGCTCTCCTGTGAGGTCCACCCATCCTGATGGTCCATGAGGACGTGGACACAGCCTCTGTGTGTGTGTGTGAAGGAGACAGTTTCCCAGTTCTCCTGTGAGCTCCAATCATCCTGATGATTCATGAGGATGTGGGCACAGTCTCTGTGTGTGTGTGAAGGAGACAGAGTCCTAGCTCTCATGTGAGGTCCACTTATCCTGATGGTTCATGAGGACGTGGGCACAGCCTCTGTGGGTGAGATGGGGATAGTGTACTAGCTCTCCTGTGAGGTCCACTCATCCTGATGGTTCATGAGGACGTGGGCACAGCCTCTGTGTGTGAGATGGGGACAGTGTCCTAGCTCTCCTGTGAGGTCCACTCATCCTGATGGTTCACGAGGACATGGGCACACCCTCTGTGTGTGAGATGGGGACAGTGTCCCAGTTCTCCTGTGAGGTCCATTCATCCTGATGGTTCATGAGGACGTGGGTACAGCCTCTGTGTGTGTGTTGGGGACAGTGTCCCAGTTCTCCTGTGAGGTCCACTCATCCTGATGGTTCATGAGGACGTGGGTACAGCCTCTGTGTCTGTGTTGGAGACAGTGTCCCAGTTCTCCTGTGAGGTCCATTCATCCTGATGGTTCATGAGGATATGGGCACAGCCTGTGTGTGTGTGTGTTGGGGACAGTGTCCCAGTTCTCCTGTGAGGTCCACTCATCCTGATGGTCCATGAGGACGTGGGTACAGCCTCTGTGTCTGTGTTGGAGACAGTGTCCCAGTTCTCCTGTGAGGTCCACCCATCTGGTGGTTCATGAGGATGTGGGCACAGTGTCTGTGTGTGTGTGAAGGGGACAGTGTCCCTGCTGTCTGTTCTGTGAGGTCCGTCTATTCTGTGATATTCCATAAAGACGTGGGCACAGCCTCTGAGTGTGTGATGGAGACAGTGCCCTGTCTGTCCTCTGAAGTCTGGTTGTCCTTATGGTTCACTGGGACTTTGGCACAGTCTGTGTGTGTGATGTGGACTGTGCCCCTCCCTTTCTAGGTGGTGGCATTCTGGTAATTGAAAGCCTCCTGGATGAAGACAGGCGGGGCCCTCTGCTCACGCAGCTCTACTCTCTGAATATGCTTGTGCAGACAGAAGGGCAGGAGAGGACCCCCACCCACTACCACATGCTCCTCTCCTCTGCTGGCTTCAGAGACTTCCAGTTTAAGAAAACAGGAGCCATTTATGATGCCATTTTAGTCAGGAAATAACTTTTTCTTGTGATCTGGAACTACTGTCAAAGCATGCAAGACATAATAATAAAGAGATGTATCTCCAGTGTTCAACAGTGAGACAGGCTTCTGTCTCTCTCTCTTTCTGCCTCAGACAGTCCTGTGTGTCTCTCCTGTATGGATCTGTACTCAAATCTTTCCATGCAGCCGCCATGAGAACACAGGCATTTGCCGTCAGATTAGATCACGCCCCATCTGTGGATACAGAGAAATCAGCAGAAGATGTTACAGAGGAGGAAAAGATTTCCCTCCTACCAATCTCATACCCATCTCTCCCTGGGCCTCTCCCATGATGTCAACAAGGTTTTCTACTTCTTGTTTTCCTCTAGTGTACGTTTTAGATGATTTTGGTACTTTCTTTACTCTCAGTCTAAACACTTTTTTTTTTTTTCCAACTAAAAAGATGAGAAAACAAAACAAATGGAATAATCGTCAAAGGAAGTTGTTGTGGGTTGAATTCTGTCCCCCAAAAGATCTGTCCAGGCTGTGGCTCCTGGAACCTGTGAATGGGATCTTATTTAGAAGTAAGATCGGGCACGGTGGCTCATGCCTGTAATCCCAGCACTTCGGGAGGCCCAGGAGGGCAGATCACCTGAAGCTGGGAGTTCGAGACCAGACTGATCAACATGGAGAAACCCCATCTCTACTAAAAATATAAAATTAACCGGGCATGGTGGCACATGCCTGTAATCCCAGCTACTAGGGAGGCTGAGGCAGGAGAATCGCTTCAACCTGGGAGGCGGAGGTTGCGGTGAGCCGAGATTGCGCCATTGCACTCTAGCCTGAGCAACAAGAGTGAAACTCTGTCTCAAAAAAAAAAAAAAAAGAAGTAAGATCTTTGCTGATGAAATCAAGTTAAGATGAGATCATTAGGGTGAGTTCTAAATCCAATATGACTGATGTGCTTATAAAAAAAAAAAGAGACGGCCAGGCGTGGTGGTTCACGCCTGTAATCCCAGCACTTTGGGAGGCCGAGGTAGGTGGATCACCTGAGGTTAGCAGTTCGAGACCAGCCTGACCAACATGGAGAAACCCCGTCTCTACTAAAAATACAAAAAAGTAGTCGGGTATGGTGGGGTACGTCTGTAATTCCAGCTACTTGGGAGGCTGAGGCAGGAGAATCACTTGAACCCGGGAGGTGGAGGTTGCGGTGAGCCGAGATCGTGCCATTGCACTCCAGCCTGGGCAATAAGAGTGAAACTCCATCTCAAAAACAAAACAAAACAATACAAAACAAAAAACGCCACAATTTTTTCAGCATTGCTGACCACTACTATGATTGACCTTTGGTTGATCAACTCTATAATTTTAGAATAATTGCTGTCTTTGGGGCTCCCTCAAAATGGCCATTTGTGAAGTGAAACTTACGAGTGATAACACCTACAGGAGGCTCGTATGTTTCCTTCTATTACAGTCAAGTTTTTGTTGTAGTCGTTGTTTTGTTTTGTTTTGTTTTTGAGACAGAGTCTCACTCTGTCATCCAGGCTGGAGTGCAGTGACGCTATCTTCGTTCACTATATCCTCTGCCTTCCAGGTTCAAATGATTCTCCTGCCTCAGTCTCCCAAGTAGCTGGGATGACAGGCGCGCGCCAGCATGCCCAGCTAATTTTATTATGTTTAGTAGAGAAGGAGACTTCACCATATTGGCCAGGCTGGTCTCGATCTCCTGACCTCGTGATCTGCCTGCCTCGGCCTCCCAAAGTGCTGGGATTACAGGTGTGATCCACCGCGCCCGGCCTTGCAGTAAAGTTGTGTCGATGCATCTTTTCGGGATTTTTTTTTATCCTTCCAAAGACTCCCCAGTGTAAAGTTTCTCTTTGGTTGGTTGGGCTTGAATTCTTTTCTGACACCGAGTATCACAGTGAGAGGCAGGACAAAGGTGTCCATACTGGCATATTATACCACTTCAACGAGCCAGCATTTTTTTCCTTTACACTCTCATGTTACATTAGCAATTAGGGCAGGTTGTTTTTGCCTTTGATTTCTGACAATTGGATTTATTTTGTTCTAGACTTAAGGAAGAAATTGCAATCAATTCTTATATGTTTATGGTGATAATGTAGACATAATATACCATTTGCCATTTTGACCATTTTTAAGCATACAGTTCCGTGGCATTAAATACATTCATAATGTTTTTTATTTTATTTTATTGATTTTACTTTAAGTCCTGGGATACATTTGCAGAATGTACAGGTTTGTTACATAGGTTTACATGTGCCATGGTGGTTTGCTGCACCTGTCAACCTGTCATCTAGGTTTTAAGCCCTGCATGCATTAGGTATTTCTCCTAATGCTCTCCCTCCCCCAGCCCCCTACCCTCTGACAGGCCCTGGTGTGTGATGTTCCCCTCCCTGTGTCCATGTGTTCTCATTGTTCAACTCCCACTTATGAGTGAGAACATGCGGTGTTTGGTTTTCTGTTCCTGTGTCAGTTTGCTGAGGGTGATGGTTTCCAGCTTCATCCATGTCCCTGCAAAGGTCATGAACTCATCCTTTTCTATGGCAGCATCAAAATACATTCATAATGTTCTACAGCTGTCTCAACTTTTCTTCATCACCCCAGACAGAAACTCATAGCCCTTAAGGAATAACTCCCCATTTCACCTACCCCCAACCATGGGTAGCTAGTGTTCTTTCTTTCTCTTTTTTTCTCCCCAAAATCATTTTGTAAGTCTAGTCCAATGATTATTTTTCTCATTTTAATTTCAATTTCAAGTTGTGGGGGGCACGTGTAGGATGTGCACGTTTGTTACCTGGGTAAAGGTATGCCATAGTGCTTGCTGCCTGGATGAATCCATCACCTAGGTATTAAGTCCAGCATGCATTAGCTCTTTTTTTTTTCTGATGCTCTCCTGCCCCCTGTGCCCGCAAAAGGCCCCAGTGTGTGTTGTTCCCCTCCCTGTGTCCATGTGTTCTCATTGTTCAACTCCCACCTATGAGTGAGAACATGCAGTGTTTGGTTTTCTGTTCCTGTGTGAGTTTGCTGAGGATAATGGTTTCCAGCTCCATCCATGTCCCAGCAAAGGACATGGTCTCGTTCCTTTTAATGGCTGCATAGTAATCCATGTGTATATCTACCACATTTTCTTACTCCAGTCTATCCTTGATGGGCATTTCGGTGGTAACCATTGTTCTCTCTGTATTTATACGTTTGTGTATTCTATATTAAACTGCAATTTTTTTTTTTTTTTGAGATGGAGTCTCACTCTATTGCCCAGGCTGTAGTGCAGTGGTATGATCTCAGCTCACTGCAACCTCTGCCTCCTGGGTTCAAGTAATTCTTCTGCCTCTGCCTGCTGAGTAGCTGGGATTACAGGTACATGCCACCACACTCAGCTAATTTTTGTATTTTTAGTAGAGACAGGGTTTCACCATCTTGGCCACGCTGGTCTGGACCTCCTGACCTTGTGATCCACCCATCTTGGCACCCCATAGTGCTGGGATTACAGGCGTGAGCCATCGCACCTAGCCTGCAATATTTTAATAATGAAAGCGTGTGTAGGCCGGGCGCGGTGGCTCATGTCTGCAATCCCAGCACTATGGGAGGCCAAGGTGGGCGGACCACAAGGTCAGGAGTTCGAGACTATCCTGGCTAACCCGGTGAAACCCTGTCTCTACTAAAAATACAAAAAATTAGATGGGCATGGTGGTGGGCGCCTGTAGTCCCAGCTACTCAGGAGGCTGAGGCAGGAGAATGACTTGAACCCAGGAGGCGGAGGTTGCAGTGAGCCGAGGTCTCGCCACTGCCCTCCAGCCTGGGGGACAGAGCGAGACTCCGTCTCAAAATAAATAAATTAATTTTTAAAAAGTGTGTGTAGACGTGAATATATACCGATGGTTTCCAGCTTACGATGGTTGAATTTGCAACTTTTCAGCTTTACGGTCCGTGCATCAAGATACTCAGTGCATTTTTGAGTTAGGGTATGTGGAACCACGATGGACTCGTGGGGAGGTCACCCCACTGGAAGTCAAGGAGCCTCCCTCTGTGTGTGTATATAGATTCCTCACCCTCTATAAAAACCATTATAAGCGCTGTGGCCACCCCTAAAGTGCAGCAGGCTCATGCGTGCAGCCCGCCTGGGCTGGAATGGTGTTTGTAGATATGGGTGAGAACTGGACAGCCCAGGTCTTCAGGCAAACCCTCTTGTTGCCATGGCAACAGGTGGGCCCTGCCGGAAGAGCGTGAACCGGGGCCCGCCAGCAGGTGGCAGCGTGGAGCAGCCGATGGAACCCAGCTCCGTTCGCTTTAAGACTGCACCTGTCAGAGGCAGGCAGGGCTGGGGGGACCACGAATGGGGGAAAAGCAACGCCGCACCGCGTACTCTTATTGCTTTCCACCTTTTATTTTTTTTTTTTTTTTTTGAGATGCTTGTCATCGCACCTGTCGAACCGCTGGAGTGCAAAGGGATGATGATGTTGGCTTACACATGCAACTGCTCGCCAACCTTCCTGGGTTCAAGTGATTCTCCTGGCCTCAGCCTCCTCAGTTACTTGGTTTTGGGTGTATAGGCAACCTGTCCACCACTGCCTGGCTTAACTTTTTCTTGTTAATTTTTTCTTTTTTTGTTTGTTTTTTTGTTTCTGGTCCTTTTTTTAGAGAGCGGAGTCTTGCTCTGTGCCCAGGCTGGAGGTGAAATGGCACGATGTTGCTCTCAGCTGCAACCCTACCTCCTGGTTCAAGAAGATTCTCCTTGGCCGTGAGTGGCCTCCAGTTAGCTGGGGTTTATAGACAACCTGACCACCATGGCCTGGCTAATTTTTTTTTTTTTTTTTTTTTTTTTTTTTTTTTGAGACAGAGTCTTGCTCTGTTGCAGTACAGGCGGGAGTGCAATGCACGATCTTGGCTCACTGCAACTCCATCTCCTGAGTTCAGTGCATTCTCCTGCCTCAGCGCTCTTTTCCCAGATAGCTGGTTATAGCATCCTGCCACACGCCTGGCTAATTTTTGTTTTGGTTTTTTTTTTGAGATGGACTCTGTTACTGTGTCCGATTGCTCTGCTCGCACAGGCTGGAGTGCAATGGCACGATCTTGGCTCACTGCCTC